TGACTTTTTCTCAAAATGTTGACTTTTTCTCAAAATGTAAAAATTCGGACTTTTTCCCCATAATTCGGAATTTTTCTCAAAATACTGACTTTTTCTCAAAATCTCCAAATTCTGACTTTTCCTCAAAATCTCAAAAATGTTAATAATCCCTCCCCCGGCTTGAGCTTCAATCTCAGGATCCATGTATCTGTGATCCTCTCCAGAATGGAAGTCATCACATACAGAGCATCAACTAGTTCCTGAGCAGTGTCCTTCACATGCTGATATCCAAGAGAGGGAGTTACACAGTCACAAGATGGAGGAATAGAAAGCAGTATTCAATGTTTACTTCAGATTAGCTCCACGTCAGAAATGAGCATGCTTGATGTCTCTCTCCATAGAGGCTGAATCATCATGTTAATCACATAGCTATCACATGCCTCAAACAGTCCTGAAGCTCTTCTAGGTAATCACACATCCTGTCATGTTCACAGCTGCAGTTGGGATACCTTTGTTATCACGTTACTCTCATACTGGAAGAGGACCTTCAGTATTTCCCCAACAGCCTGGCAGTGGATTCAGACGCAGATGTTATGTTTTGAAGGTGGTGTGGATGTCACGTTGAAGCAGTGAAGAAGCCTGCTAGGGATCACAGGGGATCAAGGACCCCCCCCCTCCCAACGTTAAAGAAGAACACCTTGCCCTTGACAGCCAGCTTGTGGGAGTCGACTCTCTGCAGATAAATACTGAGATACTTCTGCCTGTTCCTTGTATGTAGAAGGAGTGTTTGTGAGGCGGCGAACATGAAGTCTTTGGTGGATCAGAAGCATAAAGAAGTACATGTTCACTGTGTTTGTGCACAGGCCTGAAGTCTTAGCTTCTCATCCCTCAAGTTGTAAGTTCTTTACTTACTGTGTGTCATAGAATTGACTTGCTGTTGGTTTTAGGCTTCACTGCCACACACAACAACACACACTGTAACATCACTGTTGTCAAATATATAGAGCCAGTAGAAGCATTTTAACAACAATCTACTGGCTGCTAATTCATTTTTCAATACTAAATTATATCACAACAATGCTGTAATATGACAAATGTGCAATATATACATATTTACTCCTAAATATACTGTTTACTACCGTCATCTGGCAGCTACTTCAATACTCTCTACTTACTGGGTGTTTCCCCTCTCTTGTCGTGTGTTCTATAGGTTTTAGTGTGTAAATGTTCTGCAAAGGCTACAATCCCCGTGTTTACTTCCTGAACATAGTGACATCACTGTGTAACACTTGTACTATTATTGGCTAGCACTCCAACACATTGTACAAAATACAAATATGAACCTGAAAATGAGCAGAATAGGTCCCCTTTAAAGTCATTTTTATTATGTTTTTTTATTGTATTATGTCTTAATGCTTGTTTTTGTGACCCACTTCAAAATGTCTTGAATTGTGCAATATAAATACATCTTGCCTTACCTTGCGCTTGTTTACCTTTTTCATTAAATATATTTGCTGCATTCATAGGCCTTATTTTCCAAGTCATGGTTTAACACAAAGTCTGTGATTAATTAAATTAATATTTTGACATTTCTGTGGTTTTGTTTAAGTTTCTTTGGAGTTAACCAACATCCTAAAAACTACAATCTTTCCATAATTATTCAGAGCGCTTTGAGTACCCTAATTTTCACATTTATTACGCGATAGCATGCATATATGCCCACATATATGTGCGGGGTGGCGCAGTGGGCTGTGCGTTTGATCATCAGATCAAGGGGGCGTTGGAGAACTCCAGTTCGAAACCCGCCTCCGCCGCGTCAGGCCGTTGTGTCCTTGGGCAAGACACTTCACCTGAATTTGCTCCTGTGGGTATTGTCCACAGAACATGACCATTTCATGTATGATATGTGTGTAATGTGTATTTGTAAGGAGCGCTTTGAGAGTCATTGAAAAAGCGCTATAATAAATATAAGGATTATTATTATTATATATACTATAACCTTTTTATTAGCAAATCTTCAAGAAACTTTCCAAAGCTAATTAGTTGTATATGATCATATTATTTTTAAGGGAATAGAGCTATAGAGATCACATGCACTGCAGCTTTACACTAATGGTCCCTGTTGAGTCATAGGATCTAAGTTGTTATATTGTTATACTCCGCACTGTACACTCGGAGGCTTACAAAACATAATTAAAGAAATTTAAACCTGACAAGCAGAGAGTGTGTCCGGCTGAATGGAGCTAATTAGAGCTGTGACATGATAATTGGGAAGGATAAGAATAAACACAGCAGGTCATTAAATGTTTAGGGGATACATAACAAGCTGTTTTTATTAAAGCCGACGTGCTGAAAGCGAGCCGTGTTTTTCCGGGCTGTATTAACCTCTGTGTTAATCCTGCCGTAGACATGTGGGTCAAACTTAATGCAGATCCCTGAATGTGCAAGTAATGTAAGAGAACATTAATCAATGTTATACAGCTTCACTGCCAGCTCCTTTGCCATGATTGGGTTAAACTCTAACTAATGATATGTGATATTTTTTTGTTTTAACCAAATGTAAATGATACGTCAAATGTCTTTCTAATTTTACGACTGCCTGCAACATCAAGCAGTGAAAGTGACATAAATAAATTCCTCACAGGGATTGATATCTGTGTCATCTGATCACATCAGCTGGCTCCAGACTTTAATTAAACACAAACCAAATCAATCACATGGACAGTGATGAGTGATTTACATCAGAGCAGTGACACTTAATATTCTGACAGCCTCATAACAACTCTTAGATGATATATTTCAGATAAAGTTCTCCCTAACAGCTCATCCAAACTTTATATGAAGCTTAGCAAGGTAATCTGACATTTGGTAAAAGTAAAGTAAGGTATTTTAAGAGGTGATTGTGGTATGATTCATAATTTCAGCACTTCCTGTTCCCTTGTCAACGGTTTTCTGAATGTGTTTTTGGTTATAAGCCTGAAATAAGGTCTGTTGCTAACAAGTGTCTAAATGAGACGACTAAACGTCATCACGCCTAACATTAGCCACAGTAGTTCCTTTATAGCCCAACATTAGCCACCTTTAGCTTAGCGGTGTTGACGTGAAGTCATGTGACCATGCTGTAGTTCCTTTATAGCCCAACATTAGCCTCTTTTAGCTTAGCGGTGGTGACGTGAAGTCATGTGACCGTGCTGTAGTTCCTTTATAGCCCAACATTAGCTGCCTTTAGCTTAGCGGTGGTGACGTGAAGTCATGTGACCGTACTGTAGTTCCTTTATAGCCCAACATTAGCCACCTTTAGCTTAGCGGTGTTGACGTGAAGTCATGTGACCGTGCTGTAGTTACTCTATAGCCCAACATTAGCCTCCTTTAGCTTAGCGGTGTTGACGTGAAGTCATGTGACCGTGCTGTAGTTCCTCTATAGCCCAACATTATGTTTTTATGTTTCATGTGGAACCTACTTGAGCAGGTCTCCCTTGAAAAAGAGATCAATGATCTCAATGGGATACACCTGGGTAAATAAAGGTTTGAAAAATGTGAATGAAAAAATTAAAACAAAACTTCTAACAAGGCCAAACAAAAATAGAAATGTTAACAATAGTCCCACCGGCCTGTTATAAGTTGGTATCTAATTTTCTTCCACAATAAACACTTAAATGCCAGTTGCAAAAACAAAGAAAGAGACATTCAAAGTGGCTGTTTTAGTGACAGCTTCAAATGAAACATGCATATAAATGGCTGCTTTCCTCCACTCGGAAAACACAATAAAATGACTTTAATCTAAAAGCACACTTAAGAATACCTCAGTGTTTGGCTTGATGACTGCTTTTGTTTTAAACCTCAGGTTGACAATCTTGTTAACCAGTTTAGCCCCAAGCCTGTTTTTCAGGTCTCAGGCTCGAAAATGACATTCCCAGAACAAATGACCATATCTTCCCTTCTAAAAGGGTTACATTAATAATCTTTTTTCTCAAAGTAATGATAAATCTGTGAGTTGGATGTAGAAAAGTCAGAATCAATATAGATGTTTTATTTTAAAGAAAATTCAGATTGGACATGGTAAAAAACTAGGGATGCACGATAATTATCGATCCGATATTAGGAATTATGACGTCATCCCGATAAACCCGATACCAGTATTAATAGCCCCGATAATATACAATATATTTTTTGGGTAAAAAAAAGAAAAAAATACTGCGGTGTGGGTGGATTGGGATGAGGGGCGCTTGTTTTTCACTCGGCTCCTCCCGTTTTGCCAGTACTGTGGTATTAGTGGTTTAGAGTTCTTCACAAATCCAGCGCTCCCTAACTCATGCCTGGCTGTGACGTAAATGGTGTGCGGCCGTGAAGCCAGGACAGTAAACAAACATGTCGTCGGTGGTATGGGCGTTGGAGCTATGTGCAACTCAAGGCATATGCTCGAACCGGAGCTGCCTGGACGCTGCAATCATGTTGCGCACTATCCGTGCTGAGTGTGCTGACTTTTCGTACAATGTCCCACTGTCTGGCTTCCTGCATAAAGACAAGTGCTCGGCGCAGTTGTGGCGAAATGTCGCTCCTCTGTTTTCATTTAAACAGCTCCATATCCGTTAGCGCAGCTAGCTAGCACCAGATGCTAACAACAACAATGCACGTAAGGTCTCTCTCTCGCTCGCTCGGGCCACACATATACACACACACACACACACACACACACACCCTCCCGGTCCTCCAGATGGCCAGTCGGTGCCTGCCGGTGAGCGTGGAAGTGTGGTCTGCCACAAGCGGGCGACAGGAGCGGGGCTGTCAGCATCAGCTTGTAGATGGTATTTTAAACTCGATGCGCTCTGAAACTACGGGGCGGCCGAGGACAAAAAATACACATGCGTTAATCGCGTTAAAATAATTAGTGGCGTAACATTTTTTTTATTATCGGTTATCGGTATCGGTCTTGAGAAGCAGGAAGTTATCGGTATCGGTTTCAAAAAACCAATATCGTGCATCCCTAATGACAACATTAGTGTATGTTGTCTGGTACTCACGTCTCATGTCCCTGAAGTAGATAGTCTGTCTGTTGGGGTTGAGCAGCTGGATAACGGAGTCGTCGTTGTTCTTCACCCGACAGCTGATGATGGCCATCTCGCCCTCCACCACCGACACATTGTCCGTCACCAGGTTCTGACTCACCACTGAATAGAATAAGACAAGAGGATGGAGATCAACACAGGTGTGTGAGAGAATAAAGGAAAGCAAAGGCACTTTAAGAAGGTGCAACATAAAAGAGAAGATCGATAGAGGAATGGATACTGAAATGGTACACACACAAGGAATCAATGAGGAAGACAGGTGAGGAAAGAGTGGACAAAGCAAGTAAAAGTCCTACGAAAAGTGTATTGTATTGCAATGTATTCCCGAGTAATATAAATATATGAACAGTGTACACTTCATATTTAGTTTTGTAGGAAGAAAAGATTATTAGATTTAAAATACAAGGAATGTTTGGTTTGCATTGGGCAAAGGTGCACAATATGACCAGGAATCTGATCTGAAAGGTTTGTTTTTTTACATCATCTTGGCTTTAATGAAAATCCTTGTAGCCTACATACTGATTGCCTAGTTTGTCCTGAAAAGAAAGATGTATTTTGCCTGAATATGCCTTTCACGGTTGAGGTTATACAAGCATTATTACGCAAGAAGCCCAAGTGAACCAAACACATACAAAAAGAGATAAATAATAACTTCTACAGTTTCTTTTATTTCATTGATTCGGTGCAATATAATATATAATGAATGGAAGCAGCTGGCGGATCAGCTCTATTAAAAGCGTGTCCATCAGAATAAACAGAAATAAACAAGAGGAATCGGTCACGGCCGTCTTCGGTCCTCAGCTGCCGCCAGATTGCTCCACTTCCTTGTTTCACAAACAATATCTCGCCGGCTGAAGAAGGAAAAATGGATTCTCTCTAGCTGTATTCTACTCTGATTTGAAAAACTACAGTAATAACATCTCAGACTTTGCTTTGGGGTTGCAGACATTGTTGTGGTTGGTGGTAAACCTTGAGTGGTTTATTAGAAATGATCGCTTCACAGGGGAGAGGGTACTTATATCGGCCCCCAGCATCATATTTTCTTCGGGAGATACACACTAGCTGTAGGCTACGTGGACACAGACCTATTTGCTTTTTGTTGGCATGTCATATTTTTGGATGCATCTTGCAGTATTGTTTTGGACACTTGGTGGAAATGATTGCACAGGGGTGGAAAAATAAGGGCATAGGTGACAGCTATTACGAGACCTACAGACAAAACAACACTGACTTGCAGAACTTATATAACCTCGTAATGTAAAACCACTTAATGACCCTCAAACTATACAGGATATAACGACTGGATAACCCAAAGCTAGCTGTGTTTGAACGACACCCAGGAAAAAGCACACTGGAGAATGTCAAACTTGCCATTTCAAAAACTGTATAAGTAGAGGTGTGTTCAAATGCTACTATTCTGACCAGCAGCTTGTCCACATCTCACCAAAAACACACTAAGCAGCAACAATATCTCTCACTGGTAGTAGCCAATCAGAAATGAGAAAGCACAGACCTCCACCAAGGCCGAATTTTGCCATAATCGTACGAACAATGGCACGTTTTACATAAAGTCTTGAGCTGTCTTGATCAGACAAAAGAGTGTTAGGTATGTGAGCCAGCTGTTCATAGATGTTATCAAGCTACCGAAGGCAAGAGAAGACAACTTATAAAACATCTATCTGCTCCAAAGGACACAATGTAATACATTATCCAGGATGAAAGGACAAAAGTGTGCCTGGCTCCCCACATATGTCGAATTGGGGAATTTTGAGGTGGATACTGGGTTATCTAACAGCAGCATTGAAAAGCTAGTTCTGGTATTTGAAGGTACATTTTGTCTCTAATAGCCGATGCAGCTTTTGATTAGTTTTTAATTGGACCAGTGTCAAACCTAATAATATATCCCAGTTATCATTAAATATTAAGGTCGGAAAGGTTCCAGTCAACTACTTTTTTCACTTAATTTGAGATAAAAGTTAAGAAACGTGAAGTGTGAACTGCTAATGTTTAGAGTACATTAGATAACAACAAGATGCTTTGGCTGAGGCTGAGAGAAAATGCACAAATGACGTCCCTGTTATACTTCCCTCCTACATAGTTACGAAAATAGCATCACAAATACATTCTTCTCAAAGAGGTTAAAGGACCGGCACGGAGGGGGGGGGGGGGTAAGAAAAGAAAACGCAGGAAACATCGACTCTTAATTTGCATTCCTCAGTTGTCAAGCACCTAAATATCCCTGCCATTTAGGAGACAAGGAGGATGAGGGGGGGGGGGAGAGGAAGAGCATCGTGAGATCTGACAGATAAGGAGAGACAGCTTAACAAACCAGATTCAAATGAGCATCCCTGGGTGGCGAAATAAATGAACCTGGTATTTAATATTCAAGCCTCGTTGAGAGGTGGGCGGCAGGGTGGGCATCTGGTTATGATAATACGCTAACATACTACAAAATGCATTTCAAGGCAGCGGCTGAAGGTTACAAGCTGGGTGCTAAGTTGTGTTTGGAGGAAGTACCAAGGACTTCAAACGCCCTGTCAGAGGCTTAATTGTTCACGTTGTGCGAAATAAACAACTCTGACACGCTGGAAGATGGTCCGGGGAGCGGGGGGGCTTCACGCTAATTAATGGCCAACAACAACCATGTGCCACGGACACCTAGGACACTGTCAAAGTGCTAAAGAAAAAGCACTTCTGACACCAGGGTGGGCGAACGCTGTTTGAAGCTTTTTTTAAACATTGCAAACAGTATTTTTTGCAACAAAGGTCTTAATGTGTGTGAGTGCCCGGTGGAAATCAAAGGGATTTCAATGGGAGCTTGTTCCTGGAAAGTGCGTTTTATTGGTCAACCTTTACTTATTCTGTCTATTGAATAAGACTAAATGGGGAACCAAACAAAGATTGTTTTGCATTTAAAGACCATAAAGTGGTTTTACGTGTTGAAGTCTATTTACTATATTTGTTATTTTTTATGGGAGATTATTAAAAAGGCCCTTTAATGCTTTTTTGGGTGTTCACTCTCCTGTTGTGTGTTCTATATGTTTTAGTGCATGCACATGGTCTGCAACGGCTATTGAATAAAGGCTATTATATATAATATTGTTTCCTGCCATCCATTGGTTTCAACACATTTGTATTATAATTATGTATATTATTGAAAGATGTCTAAATGTTTTGTTATAAAAAAACTGCAGACTTAATTAAACATTGCATTTAATCTTTAGTTACAGTTTGGCTGTTGCTCAATTACTGGTAATTGTGATAAGGCTGACAATTATGAAGGGGCACATTAACATAACAATTACTTCTGATTGATTCTGCTGTTTAAGGTCATTATTAATACTTATGCAGCCATAACTGGGTCAGGCGATTCCTTTTATTAAAAGTTAAGTATATATAGCTTTTAGAGAAGCAACCATTTTGAAGGTGCAAACATTTGTCAAAGGAAAGCTAATAAAGGCGTGTTGTAAGAAGGAGTAAATCTATTCTTATTTAAAGGTTAACCATATATACGTTTCTGACATCTAATGGCACAGAATGTCTTGAATATCAAGTGCTTCTTTATTTGTCATCCTATCTTCTGGTAACACCTGCATTAGGACTTTGTAAAATACAAGCTGAAGCTGTGTTTCAAATACGTCTGTCTTTACTTCGTCAGAACCATTGAGGGCTTTCTGGAAGCTTCTTATAAACCGTTTTTATGACGAGAGACAGCTCATGAAATGTGTGTTTGGAGCATCAGGTTTACAGAGTGAGGGGCAGGAGGACAGCTCTAACAATACACTGCCTTCAAACAAAACCCCTCTCACTGAGACACGCTCACTTACAGCTGACAGTCCTGCACGCAGCGTGACAACAGCACATAAATCACTGAAATAGACATTAGGATAATAACACATCAGAGATGGTGGGAGTAATATATAATTGCTAGTCTGAGCTGCGCTTAATGCATTTGCTCTAAATGTTTAAATCTACCACTTCATTTGCATGTTCAGAATGGGAAGATTGCAGTATTGTTCTCCTGGTCTTTGTTCCCGGTGAGAAAGCCTTAAGGCTGTCCTCTGCGTCTCTGCTTCATCCCTCCACTTAAAGGGGACATATCATGCTACATTTGAACAATATATTGTAGGGCCATACCTATATAAAGTATATAAATATCACACAAAAGTCACTGTCACCGGAAAATATAAGGAGAACTGCAGACGGATTAGAAAGGTAGAATATCCAACGTACAGTATGTCATTGACAAACCAATAAAGAGTGCCATCAAAACATGTGGAGGTAAATGTCTAATCCATCATCTCTTAGAAGCTTTAACGTTCACAACTTTCCAATATCCCGGTCAAGAAGGTGGGAGTATTAGGATTATCATCTGCATCAATCTAGACCAGAAAACTACTCTTGGCAGTTACCCAAAATGGTCAAGAAAACCCCAAAAATCTCAGCTTTATCGGCATCCTTTTCCTAGAAGTCCTAAGTAATAAGTTCATTATCACGTCGTACTAAGATAACATTACATTAACATGTCGCTTTTATCCAAAGCGACTAACATACTTATTACTGTGGACAATCCTCCCAGGAACAGTTTGGGACACAACGACATGCTGACTGCAGTGGGACTCGAACTTGCTATCCCCTGATTCGAAGTCCAGCACACTACCCACTGAGCCACAGCATGAATATGAAACCGATAGTGAAAAAAAAGGTAATACACAAGTCAAAGGACGATATACTTCGGAAAACTATCAAAATGTAGTAAACAATATATGATCAAATACAAATACAAAAGTAAAACCAGGGGAAACTAAAAAGTGAAGCACACAACTGGGACCGGGGATTATAAAATTAGCCATATTATGGGAAGGAATTATGTATTATGCATATCACATGGTTACAATTAGCATTTATTTGAGGTAACTTTCCAATAATACTGACAGATTGCCAACTTTACAATCCCCGAACGTCAACATGTGCTTACTCCATGACGAGCTTAAGTAATAGCGATTAGGAAAAAGTCAATTTTTTGGACAATTAAACCACAACCCCAGTTTCTTTAAACAACTCCTGTGTCCTTGTTGCCTCACTAGTCGGTCCCTGACAGC